TCCTTCGGATGAGACCGTATAAACCGAGGCCCCGTGTCACAGCAGGTGTGGCACGATAAAGATCCCTCCCTGCTCAAAGGCCGTAAGTGCCGATAGGCCTAAATTTGCAGCCCTTCACCGGCAATGGTGTTCATTAAAAATTTTTCAGTATACAATCAATCAATCTTTCCATTCTTAACTGTATACGATATATCCCGGTAAGCTTGAAATAAAAGATGTAACAGAGTCTGGCACATCTGTTTCATATATTTACCTGGTTAATATTCTACTTGAGAAAGACATTAATGTTAATAAAATAACCAAGCTTTATGACAAACGAGTTGACTTTAACTTTCCAATCGTCAACTTCTCTTACTTAATAAATGCAGCAATAATACCTTCACAACCTACATACGGGGTATTTCTCTCAGTTGGTTTGATACGCAAGAATATGCTCTAATCATGGACTTTTTTTAAACAATCACAATGTAAATTATTGACAAACAAGTTGATGAAACAAAAACAGGGGTCTCGTTTAAAGTCATAATTGATTTCTTAAGTTCCATGGTCGACTCAATGACCTGGTCAGGAAAATATAATTTATCATTGAGTCAAATTCTGACTGACGTTTTTCATTTTAATTGTTAAGCCATTATATACACACGATGAATTATCGACGGATTTTCAGTTAATTCACGGCGGGTGTGACCGGTCGGCAGGGAATGCTCATTTCTCCATGCCACCTGATCCCAACTTTGATGTTTTGGAGGTCATTGTTTGCATTGTATTGGACTTTTTTTTATTCCGGCAAAACCATTCGTCGATATACTTAGAACTTTGAATCTCGATGCGATCTACACTATCAAGACATACAATTTTGGGAAAGAAAGTTAAAAATCGTAGGAGGGGGATTTTGAAAAAAACACTTACCCGTAATTTTGTTCCAAGTTCTATTTTTGTGATCATGACGTATTGTCACGTTACATGCAATTTAGAATCGATATACGGAAGGACACTCTCCAGGGTACTTTTTTTTTTATTGAAAGAAAGTTTACACGTTACACCGCCAGAACATTATTTTTTCTACCGTATGAAAAAAAAAAAATGAAAAAAAAAGCCTCGGGGCCCCCTCTTCCAACACAAAAATATAATTATTGAACTGTCAAACTGTTATAGTAATTTGCACTCAGCAAAGGCGTCGGAACGGGGGGCTTTTTTTGCAAAGATAGACATCTTATAGGTATTCAGAATAGGAGTTTACCTTTTTTTGTTGGCTCAACCCCCCCCCCCCCATTTCATTTTTGCTCAGCATGAGCCAGACATTCTAACATGTTAACCTATGTATTATTGAACATAAAAAGCATAAGAGATGCATGTTGAAATAAACATGTCGAAAGACAAACCGCCCCCGCAAAATGTTTGGAAATCCGTCTTTATATTTTAAAGTTCTAAATTCCAGGGTTTAGAACTAAAATTTTATTGTGGGTGTATGAAATTCAACTGACAATTTAAACATTTGTCTTTCCAAAGGTAAGTCATTTTTAATGGTACTGATAAATTGTTAAAATCATTTTAACGGTATGTAAAAATTACACTGCGTATTGGATAGATCTACAAATTAATTACATAATTTTGATTAACATGCTCGCCAATGCAATACACACCCAAGTGCCATGCTTGTCAATGTACAATCTATTAATAGCAATTACCTAACGCTAATAACCATTTTCTCGGTATCGATTGGTCAAACGTGACCCTGTTTGGTTCACTGACAGTAACAACTCTTTTTTTTATATTTTTGTTCATCTGTGACGTGACGTCAATATGGGGAGTTCCCCGAGTAAACGCTAACTTCCGGGTCATCTGATTCACCCCACCGCATTCCACGATACGCATGGTTGTTTGTAAGAAAAAGAAAAATTGTGATGTTTTTGTAGAGTTTGTCATGGAATAACTTCATCTATTTTCAATATTATAGTTTGAGAAACGCTTGACAGAACTATACCGTGTGGGCAGGTACTATTTAGTGTGTCCGGGGATTTGCCGACGTCGTGGGAGGGGGTGCATTTCACTTGACCCCCTATTTTATTGGAGCTTCGGAGGTCAGTACTGGTGATGCTGTAATCATTTATTTACAATATTAAACACGTGATCAATATTGAATGTTTAGAAGGTTGTAATGTTTTATGTTTATATTTGTGAGAGAGAGAGAGATACGAGGGCTGTTCAATAAATAATGTCCTCGGTGCTCAGAAAGAAGCAAAAGACGTTTTTCAATGATTTAGTCTTCATGATTTTACTAATTAATCTCTTTTAAGTAAAATACATGTCTGTAACATATTTTATCAAATTTCTGATTGTTTTTAGAACTCATTTTTGAGTATGACCCTCAGTATACTGGAAAATGGCAGATCCAATGATTTCCCGGACTTGATTCTTCCCTCTGAAATGTGTTTTTTCAAGTTTGGAAATAGAAATAAGTCAAAAGGTCGTTTGGAAATTGTTTAATGAAAAAACATTAACTTTCTGTTTATCCCGAAAACCCCTTTATTCTTCAGGGCATGCGAGTTTGGACGCTGTTTTGAAGAAATTCAATGTAGTGGATTCCTGATTCTGGGTCCTTCCTCTAATAAACCTTTTGATTTTTTTTGCAAAAAAATTGCTTTCTAGACTCCTCCAGAAATTAAAGTGTCTATCCGAATACGAATTTGAACAACAATACCACTAATTTTTAAGAAAATTACATATAAATCTGTCTTTGTGCTCTTGAATACCTGTGCTCTTGTCAGACATTCGCCGTTTTTATCAAGTACATCTTATGGTTAATTTTATTTTGAGGGTTTTAATCAATAGATTCATGTTCCAATATATGTTTGAAAATAAAAAAATCGTGGATAACTAAAATTACTGATATTTTCAAATAATTGTTAAGAATTTCGTATACGCTGTCGTTTGCGCTCATTTTTCAAAATATAGGGTGACCTTTGAGTACCACGCTTTTTTACCGTCAAACGTTTCTTAAAAACAGTGTAAACTACTCCCGATATGATGTCTATCAAATTTGCTATGTGTATTAAATTCAGTCATACATCATCAAATATTATTTGTTGAAATTTGGCAAAACATAAGTTGTTATAATTTTTGTTGGCAAACCATTTTTTGATGCCCATTATATATTTTTTTATCATTGAAATCCACCTGCTCTTTGTCTATAAAACAGGCATTGGTTGCTGTAAATGTCATATATTTCATTGAATATTTTTTTGGGATATTTAACAAGTTTTACGGCAGCTATAATACAGCTTTTATTTTCACTCTAGTTTACTGATTCTTTACCATTCATTTATAATGCAGTGTCTCGAAAAGCCCTTGTTTCCCAGCTTCTCAAGATGAAACTATGTGATGAAAAGTGGTCACATAAACTGTTATAAATTCATGAAAGATTGAATAATGAGAGAAAGTTAAGTTTAATGTCATATGATATCTTTAATGTATGTTATAAAGTTCAGGACATTATTTATTGAACAGCCCTCGTAATGTATTGATCATTTGAAAGATATTTCTAGATTTCTTCAAAGGTATGAAAACTCGAAATTTTTACTGAGTTTGTACGTCGAACGTATCACACGCTATATCTAAATAAATACATTATTTTTTTCAGTTACAGCTTTTTGAACCAGTGAGCCAGTTTACTGTAAAATATGTGATTTCTCAGTCCCAGCCATTATTAAATTCTGTACGTTTGGAAATTGTTTAATCTCAAGCCATCTATCCGCCCTGTGTTAGCACCAGGGGGTCAGATTAACACAAGTGTGTCCCAAACAAATTGAAGCATTAGATCCTATTCAATCTTCACTCAATGTTTCCGGTGTTATGTCAAGTGGGGTACCCGCTTTACAGATTGGGTCTTCAAGTGTGAAATAGCATCCCATCGGGAATTTTTCAAATATTTCAAACCGACCAATTTAAAAGGATCTACATGGATTCTTAAAAATCTTTACAACATAATTCCCCATAATTGTAAACCGCTGGCAAAAAAAAAATAGCATAATGGTTAGGGGAAACCAACAGTGGGCATATGTACTCTTCTCTTAAAAATTGATAGAGGTCACCGGAGCAGGTGCCCGAGAGAAATCCTACAGGGAATACAATCTCACGAAAGATCAAAGTTAATGATTTTTTTCATTAACAACAAAAAAGTGTTTCGGTTTTTTATCGTAAACACTAAAACACTCAGTATTAATAAACAACTTTGCCCCGGCTATCTGAATTTAGTTGTAGACACAACAAAAATACAGAGGCGCATTTATAGTGAGCATGACTGGTTAATGTCACTTTTTGGCTGTGTATTACGTAATGCTGAATGTTGGGTGACGATCAAGGTTTGCTGCTCTATATCATTATCTCACACATCATGGACACCCACACGCAGTGCTTACTCTCAAGTGTAAAGACCTTTCGTAATTAGAGTAAAGCATAATTACATAGTCCTAGTACAATTGTAGATTACTTCGTCTCCGAATCAAACACGCATAGACAAACCATTTCACGAGAGAGAGAAAGAGAGAAAGAGAGAGAGAATCCTGTTGAATGGGTACAGTTCCGGAACCTGATAAGTTTTACCTGTATTCGTTCAGCATATGTTCTCAATGATGCATGAATGTTCTGCAACAAGTATTTGTGGGAATTATCAATGCATCTGATTTCAATATTAAGGATCACTGGTTTTAACACATTCAATAAGGGCATGAATAATAGGGAGGATATCTAATTTTATGAATAACAGTTTCAGTTGTTTAATTATTACTTGTACTTATATTCAACCTCTGATGTTTAAGAATGTGTTTACTCTGCTCCTGATTTGAATTACATTTGAATGGACTTGATAGCTAGAAATCTGTACACTATATCGATATGTTTTATTAGATCTTGAAGTTTGAAGTTTCATCAGTATCTAAATTCTATGTATTGGTGCTTGGAGAACTTATAAGTTTTAAGTGTTGAAATTCACAGAGAAATGTTCAATGCGATGAGGAATACAGTAAACTGTTCTTAAAGTATTAACTCAGTTTCTTTGCCTTGAACTAGAACCCAATAGTTTATTATTGTACACTGTCTAAATAATATACTCGGAAGTAAAGACTGGCAAAACTTGATTCTCTTTACAAAAAATAAGGAAGTAATTCACGTCGGAAATACTAGAAATCCCGCGGCATTAAAACCCCTGTCTTAACAGTTGGTTCCAGAATCTTTTTACCAGATTAAATGTCCTCCGTGTCGGTTTACATCTCCAATAATACAAAAATTAAATATACTTCATACACAAGGAAGACTTATTGGGGGTAAGTTTCCTTGTCTATGTATATATATAAACAAGCCCCCGATTTACCGGACCTTTTTCGTAGAACAAGCTATTTTTCGCCATTGAATGTAAATGTGTCACGTGTCGAGATATAGAAAAGGCTTCCACACCAAATGGAATAAAGCATTTTTTGAATTTTTTCCAGGAATTAAAGTGTCATCAATAAGAGTCGATTCATCATAGTATGGAAGGTAAGTTTAAATTTTCTTGCTTTTTTAGTGAAAGAAAAAGTGATTTTGTGAATCATTGACTTTGTGGATTAAAAATTAACCCATATTTGTTTATGAGACAATTTATAAATGCTTGGTGTAACTCTTGCAAAGCGGAGATAAAAAAAATCATTCCAGAAAAAAAATAAATTGGAGAATCTTATCCTGATATGTAATGGTCCCGCCGACTTTATCTCTGAAACTGATGTGAAAATATGTAAGAACATTTTGTTATGATTCCGTTCTCCTGCCGCCTCTGAGAAAGAAAAAAAATCTCCTCGGAATATCAGCGTTCTGCGTCATTTGGAGAAACATGATACCGTCATAGGCTCTTGAAAAATCAAAGGAAAGAGAAGCCAAAAATTCCGACTCCCTCTCTACTTTTGAAGTGCTAGGGCGAAGATTCCCACCGATTTTTTACCCCCTAAAGTGCATTTTTTGCATGTATAATAGATGGGTAACCCAAATTAAAATTTTTAAGGTTGCCCTAGAGAGAGTGGAGAGGTGGAGTTGATGTTGTAAGTAGCAGTCTCCCTTTCTCGTTCCCCTTACGTTCATGACAGGCGAGATTTTGGAGCTATAAGGGAAACATTTTTGGGAGTCCTGGGCGCTGAGTCGCTTTATTTCAGGCCCGTGGATTCAATTTCAGCCGCTCTTTACTATGAAATTATTTGAAGAATGTGTAAATTCTCAACAGATGGGGAAAAAGTTGTAGATGTGTTTTTTAATACTTCATAGTTTTTTTTTCTTTCCACACAAAGAAACTGTGATTTGAATCCAAATCTGCAAGGAAGAAAATTTTGGAATTTCATTTCCGCTAGCTGTTTAGGTTTATAAAGGTCAGTAAATGTATACCTGCATGAATATAAATTTTGAACCAACTTTTGCGGTAGACATTGATTGATAATGATGTATTTGTTCAGTTTGATTTGATCAGTCATAACATTGTACCAGTCCGTGTAGTTTCAAAATAAATTCAATGTTTCTATGGGAGTAGATGCACCAGACGTTATACATGTACAACAATAAAACAGATAGTATACATAACAGACGGGCATTGTGTATAGGCAACTAATTACTTCCTACCTAAATGAACAAAATATAAAATCTGAAAAAAAGATCATTAAATTAGTCTTTTAAAACATCGATGTTTTCAAAATTATGGAATAATTATACATCACCAATTATAGTGCATTTTATTAAAATTGAATTGATATTGGACACGTCAAATAATTTTTTCTGTCATGCACGTTGCAATGTCTTATGAAATAATTGCAACAAGATTTAGACCGCTGAAAGAACTCTGATCTAGAAAGCAAATCGTGGGGATTGACGTCACGACGTGATTGGCATTTTTCAAATGAACCATATTATATATCACTGTATATCATTCAATACACGGTAAAAAGAGCTGTCTCTTGAGAAGTCTTTGTCAGCATCAGTCTGCCCTACATGTAAGACAGAAACAGTGGAAGATTGAAAAATAGGTAACAGGGTTTATTAAAAAGGGGGAGCGGGCGGGGGTGGGGGTGTACAGGGGCCGGACGAACGTTCACATTTTGTTGGCATGTGATTGCCTTTCTTAACACCTTTCGTAAAAATGTAATGGGCAGGTGCTTGCATATTTAATTTGATAAGATCCATATTTTTTGTATGTTTGAAAGCTACGTAATTTGTTTATTTTAAGATGCCCGCTCGTGGACGGCGTCCCCCGCTCTTTCTGATTCGTCATCTCGACTCTCTGACGGCGGGGAACCCCCAAATAAGAAACTCTGTGTAACTAAGCAACGAGGTGAGTAGTTTTTTTAGCACATATTTTTTAAAATTAACTGTATACATGTATATCATTATGTACAATGTAGCTTTGAAAAAGATAAACTTGAAATTAAGAGCCAAAAATATTAATCTGTATGAAGATAACAATGGTTAGAAGGAATCACAATCTAGTTTGTTGGGTATACCAGGGTATCAACGATAGTTGGAAACATGGGATAATTTGTATAACGTGCAAACCACACGTTATGCTTAAATTATCCAACGATTTAACAATCAATGACCTTAGCATACCCAACAAACCACGTATATATGTATGCATATTAGGCCTCCTGACCTCAGCTTCTGACATATCGCTTGGCAAAATTTACATTCCTGCAGAATTATCAAGGAATCAACTCAACTAACTTTCCAAGAGTGACATACATGTTAACCTATTGTGATGAAAAATAGGGAGATTCAGACCTCAAAAGCGGTAGCATTGCGCGCGCGTTGTTTAACGCTTGGATTATCGATATCTTTCATGTAATATACATGTATATTATAAGCCTTAAATGAAATCAGGTACCTACACTAATTAATCTTAAATATTAAGCCTTAAATGAAATCAGGTACCTACACTAATTAATCTTAAATATCAACAGCAAAGAAGAAGACAGAAACACCTTAAGTTTGACATAAGTTGTACAAATTCAAATATTTTTCATGCTCATCATTTTGCTTGGATTGGCTGCTTTACTTAGCCTTTTGAAGAGTGATCTTTGCTGATATAGCCTAGAAGCAATAATTCTGAATGTTCATTCAGTTTTTAAACAAAACAAATGATGACATGGTTTAATCTAGATCTAAAACAAGTTCCTATCTTTCGTTATATAAATCAGATTTCCCGCGATGATCGAAAACGAAAGTAGAGATGTGCCACATGGCCATGGCTTGGTCAATCGAGTGAGTTCTATTGACTTTATTGATAAAGTTGTGAGCTTCTGTGCTTTTAAAGACGATGTCAAATGTTTTCATCTAATTCTTAAAAGCTGTATCTCCTTTTTCATGGCAGGGATGTTGATTAATTTATCGTAACCAATGTAATCACTGGTAGTCTTGTGTTGTTGTCGTTGTCAAATCCGTGCTTGAAATCTATGTACAAAAAAAGCGTTTGTATGATTCCGAGTCAAATCACGCGATATCTAGCGAGATTTTATGAGAGTGGCTTCAAAAATGGATACCCAAGCGAACCAAAAATACTTTAGACGCAGCTTTTGTAGAAAAGCGGTAGATTTCTGAATTAAATCGGTAGGCGGGAGATGGAGTGAAAAAGCGGTAGACTCCCGCCTAAATCGGGAGAGTTAACATGTATGAAGAGTGATCTTGAATAAACAAATAGAAATGGAAGTATTAAATTTTTCACCATTGACAAAGGGAAAGTCAGACATTTCTGTCGTACTTAACGATCCAAACGTGATCTGATCAAACTAAATACATGTAGTTCCAAAATCGACCCGTTTCACTCATGCTTTCTGTAGGAAACAGGAAATTATATTTTTTCTGTGATAAAAAAAGTTTTAACCCTCGGATTTTACCAGATTTATATTAAAACTAGAGCATACGTGTTGATATTTTCGTCTACAAAGGGGTGGGTATATTTTGTACTCTCAAGCAACTGTTACACAAAAATAAACAGTTACATCGCTTTTTTTCTGTACTTCAGTTTTAAAATGTTAAAGAAGCATTGCTTTACAGTGTCTTTGGTAACATCTACTTGAAGTTGTTCTATTTTTATAAGAATTTACGTAAATTCTGAAGGAAATTAAAACACAGTAAAAATCTTTTTTTGTAACTTTTCCTATTTCCTTTTAAAGTAAGCATTCACTTCATAAAAACAACAACAGGAACAAATGTACAAGATTATGCTTTATATGGAATACTAGTATACTTATTATATCTAAACATATAAAAAAAAAAATCAAGTGCAACAAAGAAGTTCCCAGCAATTGTTGTACTATATATATACAGATTTTATCATGCACACTTTGTCATCATGGATATTTTTATTATTTTGGTCGTTTAGCGTCCTTAAAAGTTTCACGTGTACCCATTCTGGTTTAGATGATCGGTTTCCGGCTCTTTACGCCTGTCAGACTGTTTCCCTCTTATCCTTTAAAAGCCTTCTCACTTAATTCTTCCGCCATATTATCTTCCGTGTTTGTTTGTCAATGAAAGGATGGGGAAAGTCGGCCAGGAAAAGATAAAGTTTACTATTGACTCCGTGTTGCGGATATTTTAAAATATTATTTTTATCATTTATTCCAAGCTCTCTGATTGGCTCAAACTTGATCATGTGATTAAGTATATAACAGCATAAAGACCTGAGTTACTATATATAGAATCTGAAATGCATATCGACTTGATGTTTTTTAAAATGGAGATTATTTTCTGTAAAACAAAAATAATACTGATTTCACAATTATAGCTAATACAGTGTATGACTTGATGTTTCTCAAAAAATATATACTTCATCTTGTAATTAATATTTTTTAATGTTCTGTAATTAATGAGACATAACAATTCCATGAATTAGGATCTACTTTGTATTGAAACATATTGAATATGTTTGTCAAAAATTGATACAAATAAATGTACTATTTAGAATTAGTAAATCCTCTAAATTACTTCATCAGTATAAAGGTTACAAAATTACATTAAATAGCTTAATTTATTTTGATCTCTAGTCTCTAAAAGTTAAAGATAGAAAACTTGTGCCTTGTTCCCATTATTTTCAAATTGTATTTTGTTAATCTATGTAAAAATAATATAACAAATGTAGCCCTTTAATTCGGTCAATCCATAGATATATCGACTTCACAGAAAAGCATATCGACCTCGCACTTCGTGCTCGGTCGATATGCTTTTCTGTGAAGTCGATATATCTATGGATCGACCTCATCAAAGGGCTATATTTATATAATAAATCTCAAGTTTAAATTTGAAGAGTTTTTGAGTTAGGGCATCACGTGCCGTATTCTTCAATGAAGCTAAATATGGCACGTTACGTTAAGGTCATCTGATTCAAATTAAATATGCCGTAACATTGTCAAATAATTGAGCAATACCATTTAAGACAATTAAACACGTTTTTTTTTTTTTCAATTTACAAGTACTTGAACTACAGCCAAGGGATTTATTTTTAAAATGATAATTAGGAAAATAATGAATTATATATTTTGATGGATAAACCAAAACCTCATTTAGCTAGTGGTCTGTTCGCGTAAAAATTGATAAAAAAAAGAAAATAAAGGAGCTAGAATTTAAATTTGAGACTTAATTATGCATAAGCAGAAAGGTGAATAGTACATCAATATTGACATGTGTTTGTGATCGATCGCGCTGTGTGAGTAATGTGCAGTGTTTACATATATATGTGTTATATTGTTCACCGATTGAAGAAAACAAGGTGACATATTGTATGATGCCTCTTATAAATAATTTTAATGATTGTACTGCTTTCATATTGACGAGCATGTTCAGACAACACATGCAACGTCTGTAGGTCACGTATGACCCTCCCAGACAGACGGACAGACAACAGATAGCGTGTTCTACCAGGCCAAGCAGACGATACTCGACTACAAAATCATGAATGAGGTTTTACCCACATCATTCTTCCGTCTTTCCCCTATTTTCTGTATAGATTGAATTTTGTCTGCTTTAAGTCATGTTAATGTGTTGTCTTTCACAGGATCAGTGATGGATACCAATGTGACGCTGTGGCAGTTCTTACTGGAGTTACTGGTGGGAAATCAACACAGTGAAATCATTCAATGGACGAACACAGAGGGAGAGTTTAAACTGATAAACGCGGAAGAGGTGGCGAAACTCTGGGGACTACGTAAAAATAAACTAAACATGAATTACGACAAGCTCAGCCGAGCGCTTAGATACTATTACGACAAAAACATCATTAAGAAAGTGATGGGACAGAAGTTTGTGTACAAATTTGTGTCATTTCCGGAAATTGTGAAAACGGAAAATAAAATCTCTTTTCGTGCAATGATGGATAACATGGCAAAAGAACATGGGTGTGTTATGCCACATTTTGCCTCTTACGACATAAATAGAATAAAGTCTTCTGCTACATTTGCACTGAATCCTGGAAACCCTGCAGCACCAACGGTTAAAACCGAAAGTCCTTATATCGGCAGCGTAAAGTATCATAGCACAAATCCCACATCTTCCGTAATAAGAACCTCTCAACCTGCACCCCAGACTGTGATGTTGATCAAATCAGAACCACATTCAATGCCTTCCTCCCCAGTGCCCAAATCTCTGTCTCCCGCGTCGTCTGCTTCAACTGACCAGACGTCTACGTTATCAAACGCGCGCCCAAAGCCGACCCCACTCAGTCTCTCTATCCACGATCCGTCTCCGCTCCTCTCCAGCGCCCTCTCCACACTTCCGATCCCGAGTCCGAAAGTAACAATGTCCGCCGGATTGTCTACACCTATGGTGCTCGCTAGTCCGGTAATTGGCCCCAGAACGCCTTTCCTCCATTTTTGGAGTTCCTTGAGTCCAATTACAACGATGAGTCCCCGTTTAGGAGGCCCTACATCAGCTTTCCAATTTCCGAGTTTCGCTACAAATCACGTGACACTTTCTCCAATGACTGCTACTTTTTCGAATGTCGAGTCCTTGGCAACTCCCGCCTTGACGTCACCGACGAGGTCCATTCCTTGTGTGTTATGACCACTACAGAAGAAAGAGTCCGATCTCTGATTCTCCGGCTCTTCCTCGGTGCTATTGGGACCAATTCCACATTTATTAAAAATTGTGAACAAACTACAAAATGTAGATGCTCATGATCTTCAAAGTTTTTTTTCATGTAATTTATATATACATTTATATTTGTGATTTATTTTTGTACGTATGAAAACACAGAGGATGTTTTGTTTTTGAATTATTTACTTTTTTTGCGATTTAAAACAAACACCCTGGAGGTGACATTTGTATAGCGTATAATAGTCGCTTAATCATTCTAATATTATACTGATGCTTAGAATTATATATACCAATAATTCATCCACATCATTAAGTCCCATTGATTTTGTACATAGTTCAATGAAGTCTGCGGACGCAAACAAACAAAAAAAGTGTTGGAGTTGTATTTTATAAAGGTTATTCTCTGTATACACTAGAGTCGTTTATTTGTAAACTAGACTAGATTTGTTGGTAAAAAAAAATAGTGCCCCACAAGTCGCGTTTAACGCTTGAAAACGTTGCATTTTGATCTTTCATTCGAGAATTTTTGTGAATATTATACTTGCAAATGCCTTTAAATACCTGGCATTTGACCGTATATTCCTGAAATAGCCGTCTTCTCTCTCAAATGACCTCTGAACTCTTTTTAATCTGTAATTCTCTGATAACCCATTGTCTGTTGCCCGCCTGCCAGTCCGTCTGTAAACTTTTTACTATTTCAACCACTGGGCCAAGTTTAACTGAAGTTGGTATAGCTGCAGATCTGTAGCTCTCCGAAAAATATATTGATAGACCGGAGAGCTACAGTGCCACCCATTGAAAAAACTGTATATTTATTGCGCACAAAAAAGAAATCTTTCCTTTTTTGCAACTGAGGTAAGAATTTGGAAGAATCAATCAAGAACCGAGCGCACTTTTTTTGTGCGCAATAAATATACAGGTTTTTCAATGGGTGGCACTGTAGCTCTCCGGTCTATCAATATATTTTTTCGGAGAGCTACAGATCTGCAGCTAGGTACAAAGCTCCGTGGGTAAAGGGGGAAGATGAAATGAAGGACCCAATCTAATTAAAATTAGATGTTAGATCCCGCTCGCATTCTCGCAACACTAACAAATTAAAATTAGATGTTAGATCCGCTCGCATACTCGCTACACTAACATCTAACAACATCCCAAAGAGGATCAAGTCAGAGGTCAAATTCTTTCAACCAATCAAATCGTTGCTTGAAAAATGATCGTATATTGTTGAAGCGAATAAATCTAGAGCTGTTCCGAATTTTACCTCTGATATGACCCTCTTTGGGATGTTGTTAGATGTTATTGTAGCGAGTATGTGAGCGGATCTAACATCTAATTTAAGTTAGTGAGTATGCGAGCGGATCTAACATCTAATTTTAATTAGATTGTGAAGGACCAAATCCCAGTTACAAGGTTTTAAATATCGAATTGGCAGAGTAAAATAAGGCAAGATGCTTAATCGAAGTGTTTATAGCGAATAGGAGAGTAGAATATGACAAGATGATAAAATGAATAGTTAGAGAGTGGAATATGACAAGATGATAAAATGAATACGCAGTGAGAAAAATGTGACAAGATGATAAAATGAATAGAGAAAGAGTAGAATATGCAATATGATAAAATGAATAGACAGAGTGTAGAATATGACAAGATTAAAAAATGAATAGACAGAGAGTAGAATATGACAAGATGATAAAATGAATAGACAGAGAGTAGAATATGACAAGATGATAAAATGAATAGACAGAGAGTAGAATATGACAAGATGATAAAATGAATAGGCAGAGAGTAGAATATGACAAGATGATAAAATGAAAGAGAGTAGAATATGATAAAATGAATAGACAAAAAGTAGAATATGACAAGATGATAAAATGAATAGACAGAGAGTAGAATATGACAAGACGATAATATGAATAGACAGAAAGTAGAATATGACAAGATGATAAAATGAATAGACAGAGAGTAGAATATGGCAAAATTATGAAATCAATAGATAGAAAGTGGAATATGTAAAGATGATAAAATGAATAGACAAAGAGTAGAATATGACAAGATTACAAAATCAATAGATAGAAAGTGGAATATGTCAAGATGATAAAATGAATAGAAAAAGAGTAGAATATGCAAAATGATAAAATGAACAGACAGAGTGTAGAATATGACAAGATGATAAAATGAATAGACAAAGAGTAGAATATGACAAGAGAGAATAGAAAAAAGTATGACAAGATGATAAAATGAATAGCCAGAGTAGAATATGACAAGATGATAATATGAATAGACAGAAAGATGATAAAATGAATAGATAGAAAGTAGAATATGACAAGATGATAAAATGAATAGACAGAGAGTAGAATATGACAAGATGGTAAAATGAATAGACAGAGAGTAGAATATGACAAGATTTTAAAATGAATAGATAGAAAGTGGAATATGTCAAGATGATAAAATGAATAGAAAAAGAGTAGAATATGACAAGATGATAAAATGAATAGACAGAGAGTAGAGTATGACAAGATTATAAGATGAAAAGACAGAGAGTAGAATATGACAAGATGACAAAATGAATAGACAGAGAGTAGAGTATGACAAGATGATAAGATGAAAAGACAGATAGTAGAATATGACAAGATGACAAAATGAATAGACAGAGAGTAGAGTATGACAAGATGATAAGATGTATGACAAGATGGTAAAATGAATAGACAGAGAGTAGAATATGACAAGATGATAAAATGAATAGGCAGAGAGTAAAATATGACAAGATGATAAAATGAATAGACAGAGAGTAGAATATGACAAGATGATAAAAACAACAGACAAAGAGTAGAATATGACAAGATTATAAAATCAATAGATAAAATGAATAGACAGAGAGTAGAATATGACAAGATGATAAAATGAATAGACAAAAAGTAGAATATGACAAGATGATAAAATGAATAGGCAGGTAGTAGAATATGACAAGATGATAATATGAATAGACAGAAAGTAGAATATGACAAGATGATAAAATGAATAGACAGAGAGTAGAATATGACAAGATGATAAAATGAATAGACAGAGAGTGGAATATGTCAAGATGATAAAATGAAAAGACAGAGAGTAGAATATGTCAAGATGATAAAATGAATAGACAGAGAGTAGAATATGACAAGATGATAAAATGAATAGACAGAGAGTAGAATATGACAAGATGATCAAATGAATAGACAGAGAGTAGAATATGTCAAGATTATTAAATGAATAGACAGATAGTAGAATATGACAAGATGATAAAATGAATAGAGAGAGTAGAATATGACAAGATGATAAAAAGAATAGACAAAGAGTAGAATATGACAAGATTATAAAATCAATAGATAGAAAGTGGAACATGTCAAGATGATAAAATGAAAAGACAGAGAGTAGCATAGGTCAAGATTATAAAATCAATAGATGGAAAGTGGAATATGTCAAGATGATAAAATGAATAGACAAAGAGTAGAATATGACAAGATGATAAAATGAATAGGCAGAGAGTAGAATATGACAAGATGATAAAATGAATAGACAAAAAGTAGAATATGACAAGATGATAAAATGAATAGACAGAGAGTAGAATATGACAAGATGATAAAATGAATAGACAGAGAGTAGAATATGACAAGATTTTAAAATGAATAGATAGAAAGTAGAATATGACAAGATGCTAAAATGAATAGACAGAGAGTAGAATATGTCAAGATGATAAAATGAATAGACAGAGAGTAGAATATGACAAGATTATAAAATCAATAGATAGAAAGTGGAATATGTCAAGATGATAAAATGAAAAGACAGAGAGTAGAATATGTCAAGATGATAAAATGAATAGACAGAGAGTAGAATATGACAAGATTATAAAATGAATAGACAAAAAGTAGAATATGACAAGATGATAAAATGAATAGGCAGAGAGTAGAATGACAAGATGATAAGATGAAAAGACAGAGAGTAGAATAAAAGATGATAAAGAATAGACAGAGAGTAGAATATGCAATATGAATAATGAAAGATATAAAATGAATAGACAGAGAGTAGAATATGACAAGATGATAAAATGAATAGACAGAGAGTAGAATATGTCAAGATGATAAAATGAATAGATAGAAAGTGGAATATGTCAAGATGATAAAATGAATAGACAGAGAGTAGAATATGACAAGATGATTTTTAAATGAATAGGCAGAGAGTAGAATATGTCAAGATGATAAAATGAATAGACAGAGAGTAGAATATGACAAGATGATAAAATGAATAGACAGAGAGTAGAATATGACAAGATGATAAAATGAATAGACAGAGAGTAGAATATGACAAGATGATAAAATGAATAGACAGAGAGTAGAATATGACAAGATTTTAAAATGAATAGACAGAGAGAAGAGTATGTCAAGATGATAAAATGAATAGACAGAGAGTAGAATATGTCAAGATTATAAAATGAATAGACAGAGAGTAGAATATGACAAGATGATAAAATGAATAAAAAGAGAGTAGAATGTGACAAGATGATAAAATGAATAGACAGAGAGTAGAATATGACAAGATTATAAAATGAATAGACAGAGAGTAGAATATGACAAAAAGATTATAAAAATCAATAGGCATAGAAAGTGGAAAATGAATAGTCAGAGAGTAGATAAAATGAATAGACAGAGAGTAGAATATGATAAGATGATAAAATGAATAGGCAGAGAGTAAAATATGATAAGATGATAAAATGAATAGGCAGGTAGTAGAATATGACAAGATGATAAAATGAATAGGCGAAGAGTAGAATATGACAAGATTATTAAATCAATAGATAGAAAGTGGAATATGTCAAGATGATAAAATGAAAAGACAGAGAGTAGAATACGTCAAGATGATAAAATGAATAGACAGAGAGTAGAATACTGAGTATGTCAAGATGATAAGATGAAAAGACAGAGAGTAGAATATGACAAGATGACAAAATGAATAGACAGAGAGTAGAGTATGACAAGATGATAAGATGAATAGACAGAGAGTAGAATATGACAAGATGATAAAATGAATAGACAAAAAGTAGAATATGACAAGATTATAAAATGAATAGACAAAGAGTAGAATATGACAAGATTATAAAATCAATTGATAGAAAGTGGAATATGTCAAGATGATAAGATG